GCTCCACATAATGATCGCATTACTTCTATCGCAATTTTTCTTTGTCTCTTTACAATATAAAAACAACTTTTCTAAAACGTAATCAATTTAAATAATTATACTTTATTCCAAGTGCGTTGCTGTGTACTTTCTATTGTTATAAATAATAAAAAAAGAATGTTAAAATAAATTTTATTATCCTTATGCAAATAGAACTAACTGCGTTTTAATAACGATAAATACAGACGCCAAAAATAAGTTTTTCGAATTACACGTGATACCATAATACGTGATTTTTTGGCCAGATCTTGTCGCGTCTTGCAAAAACGTCGCGTTTTAAGTTCTGCAAGTTTGTATTTTTTTTTATAATTATGAAAATTTGGCAATGAACGTATACGAAAATCGTTTGGATTCGTTTAACATACAAAAACAGATTTGGCCACATTCGAGTAAAGGCTTTAAAGCCACTCCTGAAAAGGTTATTTATCAACACTTGAAACAATTTTATTTATCATTATTATGAATTAAAGAATTTCAATGCTCGTTATGTATTTCTGATATTAGTTGGCAGCGGCCGGCTTCTTTTTTGACCCAAGTCCACAATATCCTGACAATGTGACCTGCTTTCTATGTGAAAAATCACTTGACGGTTGGGAAAAAGACGATGACCCTTTTACCGAACACATCCAGCATGCTGTTAATTGTGCGTGGGCGGCGATTAGATGCTCAACTAGCAATAATAGAAATGAAGGATCATTATCAGCATCATCAATGATTAATCCCGAGGACGAAAATACTTGGCCTACCTCGAAACATATGGAAGAAATGAGAATCAAAACATTTGGTGAATGGTGGCCTCATATTGGGAAGAAAGGGTGGACTTTAACCGTCAAGAAGGTATTGATTCGATTCTTTTTCGCTAATCGGATCAAATAATTGAAGAATTTTATACTTATGAATTATCGATGGGTGAATTAAGATGGCCAAAGCGGGATTCCATTACACACCGACTATTGATTCAGATGATTCTGCGACATGCATCTATTGTGGGTTATGTTTAGACGGATGGGAACCTCAAGATGATCCAACGTAAGAATACAATAGAATAGAGAATTTTATATTCTTTTGATTAATTCGATTTCAATTTTTATTAGCAAAGAACATCGTAAAAGATCCCCAAAATGTGCGTTTTTCTCGAAGCCGCAAAAAGCGAAAAAAGGACGCGCTCTTGTGACAAAACACCAACAAAACGATGATGAAAAAGAAAATTTTAATAACAAAGATGAAAGTTCACTCCAAGAGACTCCCGCGATAATCGAGGAACAAGAAGAACAGATCGTGGAAGAAACTCAACAAGAACAACCATCTCAAACCGTTGAAGAGAAACAAGAAGAGTTACAACCACCACAACAAAGCATTGAAGAGGAACCACAGCTTCAAGAGAAACAAGAACAGCTACAACAAAGCATTGAAGAGGAACCACAGCTTCAAGAGAAACAAGAACAGCTACAACAAAGCGTTGAAGAGGAACCACAGCTTCAAGAGGAACAAAGACAGCCGCAACAACTAACTATTGAAGAGAAACAAGAGCAACAATCACCACCACAACAGCAAACTATTGAAGAGAAACAAAAGCAACAATCAACACAACCGCAAACTGAAGAGACACGAGAGAAACAATCATCACCACAACAGCAGACTATTGAAGAGACACAAGAGCAACAATCATCACAACAGCAAACTATTGAAGAGAAACAAGAACAACAATCACCACCACAGCAGCAAACTACCGTTGTAGACGAGCCGCTATTATCGCAAACCGTTCTAGATAAACCATCATTACCACAAACCATTGTAGATGGACCACCACCACCACCATCACCAACTGTTGAAGAGGTTAAGCTTAGTGTATATCGCGAGCAAGAGAGCAAACTCCGAGATACAATTGCTGCCATGCAAGCGTTTTTGCAACATAAATATAGAAAAGCTCGAGATGCGATAATGTCTATTAAAATAGTATAATTTTACGATGTGCTTATTATATAATAATAATGAAATTAAATAAAAAACATGCAAAAGCAGAATATCTATATATACAAAAGATATTTTCTCGCAAGCTATTTGGTTTAAATAATGCATTAGAAAGATATTAATTTACGTCAAATTACGCAAACCCCGTAAAATCATTTCTCAAAGAAATGGTTGGTGCTTTTGTCAATTCATTTCTTTCAGCTAATTCTCTCTCTCGCTCTTGCTGTAATTGTCGTTGTTGCTGTTGCTGCTCTAACACATTGAATCGGATACATGCCTCGAGTTTAGCTTTAATCGGCGGAGAAAGAGTAGACAACGCGTCTTTAAATGCTGACTGGTAATTCGTGGCCAAAAAGAAAACATGTGAAATAGCTATCGAGTGAAGCGGTGGCAGAGGGTTCTCAAGTGGGGGTTCTTCT